GTGGTTGAACATTTAAAAATCTAAAGAGTGATAATATCTTACAACGTGGAGAAATGTGGACTTAAAGGAAACGCGAGGAGCCATCAGAACCACAGCAAGACGTCGTCCCTGACTTTGAAAGAGGGTGGCAAGGAGTAAGGGGTGAGTTCGCTGGGGGGACTGTAAGTGAGGGTATGGGGGTGGTAGCCGGAATGGGGGTGGGGTTGAATCAGCGCGGGGGTATATGGGGGAATTAGTAGATGGCCGTGGACAATGTGGGGGATACTTTCTCATATCAAGTATGGCCGCCGTCGTGGCACGATGGCCAAAACAATAGTAAGTAGAGAGTCTCGTAGACGGCTCCTCGCAATTCTTTCGCTGTCGTTATTTATTTTTTTTTTGTTTTTGTTATTCTTTTTCCCTTCGCCGTTCTGCTAAGTCAGTCTTGGTTACGTTGTGAAAGACGTCCGAGGGCAACAGAATTCCCACGTTTTTCCATTGTTTTTCTCTGGGCTTTCAGTGTGCAGTGAATAAAGTGATGTTATCGTCATTATCGTCGCCTTTATCAATCACGAGTCCGTGCCTCATTCAATGAAAACGATTCATCATCGTATCACGACAATTAACAAATGGATAACAACAAGGAAGCGGCCGATCGCGAATACTTTGGGCTCTCTCGCACGGGCATAGGCTGCTGATTACGGTAAGTGGTGCACGGTGAACGTCATAAATCTTCTTCAAAATCGCGTGTGTGCAATTGTACGATGCACGGAACACTCCCATTAAACTTTCCTTTAAACGCTTGCTCATGTTTTATTAACGTGTCGCCGGAGGGAATTGAGAAATAGGGGATTTTTCGCGATTCTGATCGTTTACGGAAAAATAAACGTCGTTAAGTGTGTGTATGTGTGCGTGTGTTTGTAATTACATGTGCAGCGACTGGTCGCTCAATCTTCGCTAACTTGCTAATATTTTCCTTGACGAATTAGAAATTCCAGCTACATGTGATTACTTCACCGCGGCGCCGTTTGATTGAAAAACAAAAACGTAAAACTTACGAAGAATAAAATTATACAGGAACTACCTCTGTGGAATTTCTGAAAACGATACTACACCGTTGCCCATTGGGGGAAGACTAAAAGCCCGTCCGATATCCGGCGACGTCTTTTGCATGCGAATACTCCACGTGGTTCATCCGACGACACGCATTGCGCAGATCCAACGTTCCACGATCCCCACCTTTATGTGAATCACACTTTTTACCAAAGCCTCGCGATTCCAGGTACGAATCTAACGCCATCCGGTTAACGTACCTCGATCACCGTAAACACTTCCGATTTCTCTCAAAAAACCGAACAATTAGAATCTAACGGGGCAATACATCAGAATAAAGTAAAATTCTCCAAAACCTTCGCAGAGATTCTGTTGATTTGTGATTCTGTACATTCAAATCATTATATAGTACCCGAGCAACGGTAGCGTTCTCCAAAAATAAATACATTAAATTCCCAACAATGTCGTTATGAGATTAAACTGCAAATCCTTTATAAATTTCAACAATAATTCGGCAAGACAAATGTATATCAGCGATTTTTGTACAGGTGCCTGCAATTTCTCCGTCCTAAATTTAACAATTTTAAAAATATTAAAAATCCTTCGATTGCTATACTAAAAATTGGTGCATTCGGTTAGCCGTCGGACGCAATTGCCATCAAGTATCTTCTCGTAAGAATCTCGAAAGTCGCGAGCGGTCGAAATCGCGTTGGACATTTATAGAAAAGACGAGGGGTTGGCGGATAGATTTTCAGGACTGGCGCGATGATATTTGTCTTGTTTACGAGGAGGACTTATGCGCGTGTGCGGACCAGTGAAGTTCGCCGCTCGATCAATAGGCCTCTACTGAAATCACATATAAACGCACTCACGCGCGCACACCCACGCAACCGGCCACTCTACGGGCACACGCACACAACGGGTAACAACGCAAAAAGTTCGCGAGCTTTTCTTTCGACTTCGAGAACGGGGGATGATGATCGAACACCCACCCCCACCCCACCCCCCGTCCCCCCACACACGGAACTCTTATAATTCTCCCTTCGCGTATACGCTTATCGATTCCAGAAATTCCGACTGCTATCCTCGATGTTCAAAACCAATAACCATTCCTGAACAATCTCATCGTCAATTACTTTTTTTCCACTCCTCCCCGTCGATTTCTTTCAATCTCCAGTCAGTCGTAGCATCGATGGGATGAAAAGTTCGAAAACGTACGACGGTGTGGTTGATCCAGAAATTTTGCATAGTACCATCAAATCGCCTCGATTCCATGCATTCAATATTAATTACAACGCTATACCCGCCTAAAACGCATAATTTATCGCGGCCATCGTTTCCACCAGACGTAAAACGGAGCCAGCTGCCGAGTATATGTATACGCGTTAGCGGCATATGTTGGTCGCGGCATCGTTATTTCGGCGAGTCCCATGGCGTTGTTTACCAAACGACAACCACGGTACGCCCACGCAATCACAGCCGCGAAACGATTCATAGGAGCGGAGAAAAGGCATATGCAATGTACGCGCGCATCCCACGATAATACCTCTTCCATCCCTTCGAGTCGAATCGCTCGAATGGTTATTTTTCCCTCCCCACCACGTGGCCCTTTCATGCTTTCCACTCTCTAACAACATGTTTTTCTCGACACCCTTTCGTGAACGACGTCAAATTCCCCATTCGGCGTTCCCCCCTTTCCCGTCCATTCGCTGTCATTCATCCAATTTTCGACAGAAACGGTGCAAAAGCTGTTCCACAATGCATACACACACGCGCGCGCGTTCGTCCGCCCCCCGATCGGCCATACGGGCGTATTTACGCGTATTTTTGGAAAATCCGACGAATGTTGCGCAGAAATGCGGGTTTTGCATCATACGGTCTCCCTCTCTCTACCCCCTCCTCCCTCCCACCCGCCTGTTCTCCTGTTTTTCAACCCCCGCGTAATCCAATTTCTGTAGATTGACACATAGACGTTCGAATTTCAAATAATCACTTCCTAATCCTCTTCAATTCAAATGTTCAGTATACAAGGATAGAATAACATGCTATTATCGTCGGATTAAATTAAATGGTCGACAGGAAATTTTACGTCAAAGGCCACTTGGAAAATAATGTGACCGAGAAGTGTCGATAACGCAACGAATCGATTACAGATAAAGTATAAAATTCGAGAAATCCTTATCGACTCCAACAATCAGATACAAAGACGGAAATTTTTTCTAGAACAATAACGTACTTAATTAATATTCCATATCGTTAACTATTTAACAGTAGGGCAACAAGCATTTTCTGTATCATCCGACGAATCGCGCGAAAATCGATCACGTCATTTCGGAAATCATCTGTTCGAGGATGGTGGGTCACGCTGCTGCTTCGTTAAGCGTGGTGGGGGGGATATTTGTGTGGTGGCTCTATGAAGGTGGTAGGGACGAAAACGATGTGACAGGCCTTTCATAGGGCACCATGGCTGCACCTAACAGTAACCTGGGAGAGTTCAGAGAGGCGTAAGCCCGTCGGGGACCCATAGATTAGCACCTTTTCAAGATCTTTAAATTTCGTCTGAAGTCTCGCCGGCAGCTGCGTGTCGTCCCGGCCCTTAACGTTCTCAAGGATCCACCTTCTTCGTCCCCTTTTCTTTCGTCTCTCCTCGCCGAACCACCCCTCGAACCGATACTCCCGATAAATTTCATCGATCGCGAGACCCCCCTTCGTACCGAAATATACCTTCCTTCTATCCCGTCGTCCCGTCAGTGTGTGTTCCATCGAAATCGTAAAGTTTATATCGCGTGCCTCGTTCGTTCGAGGGCTCGTTTGACCACCGCTATCCACGAAGGTGAAAGCATCTCTCCTCGGTTTACCCTACCCTCCTCGATGCCACGTGCCGATGACGCCTATACAGCGTTCCCGACATCGACGACGTCTTGAAAAACGGACCGTACGCGAAGGACGAGATCGTTCCTGTGCCAGTGTGTGCTGTCTGCGACAAGAAAGTGGTGTTTGCGCGCGATTCGCTCGATAAAAATGCCCGATAAAGTTCCACGTGACGTTCAATGGAATTGTGTTGGTTTGGAGCCGCTTTATTTACATTTAACGATCATCATCGGAGTGCCTTGAGACGAGGATATTCGACGGATGATCTCGACACTGAAGGCAGTGGATCGTTTTTTATGGGATTAAACTGTCCACCGGTAAGAGAAAATGTGAAAAAATGATATTTCCTACGGGCCCGTGTTAGAGGTTGTTGTATCCCCGAGTGATATAAATGTTACTTCTGTTTCGCTTCGAGTAAAAATATATACGTCTTTGTTACGATTCTGTCATTTCCTTTTGATTCCTTTTCGGGTCGACTTTAGCTTCGACTGTTCTCCGTGTGTAACGTGTACTACCATTACCCCGAAATTGGCACAGTTCGATGACCCGAGGATTATTCCGTGACGAAGGCGCACGGGTCTGTCAACTTCAATTAGTAATTACGGAGCTTCCGAAATGCATATTCCTACTATCCTCGGGAGCTCAGCCCCCAAAGCATGGGCGTATATATGACTCATATATAGTACGTTCCCCAAACGCCTCCCTTTTCTGACCATGTCCATTCGCGTATAGGGTGTCTCAACGAGCCGTACCAACACATCGACTCATCGTATGTAAGCTATTTCTCTTTCGCTAGTTCGACGATTCTATTTCCAGCCGTGTCTGTCCGTTACGGGGAAATATCTACATATATCGAAACCGATTCGCGGAAGACTGCTGCAAATACCGGATGAAATTACAGAATCCATCGATCGATTTCCAGTATCCGGCGTTTTCATTAACAAATAACAGTTCAGTCCCATTATTTCCCACTACAAGATTGCCGGTACTAACTGGGTTGGGGATGGATATCTTGTTCGACAGGGTGACGAGACATAAGAAACGGCGTGGGTAAGAAGATCGGGGTCTGTCACGTAGCAGCCGCGATGTCCTCAACGATGGCGCACGGGGCGACGATATCGGAGCAGACGGAATTAGACAGCGACGGTTCGAGTTGCGGTGAACGAGGGGACACCAGGAAACGTCTTCGCGTCGACGTGGACTTGACCGGGCCGAAAAAGCGACGGAAACAAACTACCCCCGTACGGTTCTCCTCCACGTTGATGACCGGTGTGCACGAGGAATCGAACGAGGACGAGGATGAGGTCGAGGACAGCGAAGGTAAGCTGTCGACGCTGTCACCCATACCGAGTCTGTCGTCGATACGCGACGAGTACCTGAATAACGAGTTCCGTTGTCAGTATTGTAGTCAGTTTTTCGACAGCAAGGACACGCTAAACGTGCATCTCGATAACGATCACGGTCCCGCCACTCAGCTAGCGTGTCAGAGTCAGACTAACGCCACGAATACCGCGATCAAGGTGGAACCGTCAATGCAACTAGACCAATCCGAGAATCCCGTTAATCTGCTTACCGTAAAGAACTTCGCGACAAGCTGGCTAAGCGGTGGTCAACACATGCAATCCCACACGCAGATCCAGACGCAGAACGAGGATCTATGGCCCGGCCCCGTGAATCAGATACCCTCTATACCAAATCATTTGCAAGCGTTGTCCGGTTTCCCAGGCGCGTTAACGCCCTATCTACCCTTGCCCGCGTTCCCGTTAACCGATTCTAGTCAGATGGTCCGACCGTCGATGGGACCGACCCCAGTCAGGATCTTCAATCCGGACGCGTACTGCGATCTCTGCAACAAAGAGTTCTGCAACAAGTATTTCCTGAAGACGCACAAGGCGAACAAGCACGGGATCTACGTCGACTCGCCTGGCCCTAGCGCGGCGGACAATAACATACCCGGGACACTTTATCCGGGGAGCTTTCCTAACAACGTGGTCAAGCTGGAACCGCCCGCAACACCGCCTACGTTGACCGCAGTCTGCGATCTCTGCCATAAACGCTTCAAAAACGAGGACTCGGTGCGCAAACACAAGCAAAAGATGCACACGGAACTGTCGGATCAATCGCAGGAGCCGCAAATGAATTTCTCGCAGAACGATGATGACAGAGAGACGCCGAGAAACAGCCCGGGCGGTATTGAAATGTTATTCAAACAGGAGTACGGGGTGGAACAAGAGGACGCAACGTACGTGCCAGCGCCCAGAAACCTATCGCCCCAATCTAGTCAGCAGGCAAGGGACGCTGGATTTAACGCCGATCGGCTGCGTCGTCTAGGGGTCATAAATCCGGAAGCCTTCTGCGAGATATGCTGTAAGGAGTACTGTAACAAGTACTTCCTGCGCACGCACAAGATGAAGCGACACGGTATCGTCCTACAGGACAACGAGAAATCGCCCAGTGCCCAAGGATCAGCGGCCACTTGGCACCAAGTGCAAACCAGCCCGTTAAATTTGATCGTGGCGGAGAACGCCGGTAGCTCGGAATCGAACGAACGATCCGGGGACGATTACGAGTGCAAGCCGTGTGGCATACGATTCCAAACGATCGGTATATATCAGGCGCATTGTCGGAAGATGCACGAAACCGAGGAAGAACAGTCCCCGAAACAAGGAAGCGACCTGGATGGTACGGATCAACGGAACGATTCGATCTCCGAGGATCTTCAGAAGTTGCAGACGATGCTTTTGCAATTGAATGGATTGAAGTCTGGCAACGGTCTATCGTGCGGCGCGTGCGGTAAAGAATGTGAGAGCAAAGCCGTATTAGATATTCATATGGTGACGGAGCACGGTACCATCGGCGAGGACACGACCACCTCGCCTCAAAATAAGTCACCGTTAACCGCGACGTCCGCGTTTTGCACCCTCTGCGGCAAAGAGTACCCGAGCCAAGACGCTCTCCGAAGACACATCACCGAGGATCATCAGCCAGCGATTTCGAGTTCCGTTCCTCACACTCCCACCACCACCGCAACCGTGACCAATTCAACACCGACGAGCCAAACTTCAACAGAGAAGAAAGTAATGTCCATGACGCCCACCTCGAGCTACTGCGAGATATGCAACAAAGAGCTGTGCAACAAGTACTTCATGAAGACCCATATGCAGAGAATGCACGGTATCGAGATCGAGAACGGAGCCCAGATCGGTGGTGTTATTTGTAACATCTGCAACAAGGAACTATGCAGCAAATACTTCTTGCGCGTTCACAAGCATAATACTCATGGCATCGTGGATGAGAATACACCCAGCTCGACCAAACAGGAGACACACGATTCGGCGAACACCGACGATGCTCTAAAGCCGGAACAGCTAGGCGATCTAAATCATCGATACTTCACTCATTTCACCGAGGTCTGTCCCATTTGTAACAGACGTTTCCGTAGTATAAAGTGGCTGAAGGCTCATCTGATGGGAGATCACGGGAAGGTCGGCATCGATAAATGGCGCGAGTTGGAACAACAATACCAAACGACCTCCAGATCGGGTAACCGAGCACTGAACACCACGAAGAACGTTCAGAGTTTGAATTTGAAGATACCAAACGGATACGAGATCCCGCAACAAATGAAGCCAGCCGATTACGCGGGTCTGGGCAATCAAGTGCTGTCGAATCTCCTAGGATCATCATCGGAAGATCAACAGCTAAAAAGCTACCGTTGTTCGTATTGCAACTTCACGACGACGGTGCTGCCGTTTCTCTTTCTTCACGAAAGATCGCACGTGAACACCCAAGAGAGCATAGAGGGCGAGAAATCGCTTCAGTGCCCGATCTGTTCCCAGGGCTTTCATCAGCCGGAGATGTTGCATCAACATCTACTCACCGCTCATCAGTTTCCCGCGTTACTCTCGCACTTTCAGCCACCGGTTCTCAATAATTTAGGTTTGGACATGGAGAAACTGAACGAGGTGAAAGAGAAGTTCGATCAGGAGCCGAAGGAGGACCGAGTGGAAAACAGTCCGCAAGTCACTGCCAATCAAACGATTCCCGAATCGATCAGGAACCAACGACCAGGCGACACCGCGGTTCAGGTGACCCTCCAGGGTGTGTACAAGTGCACGCAATACGATTACGCGACGACCAATTTGAATAGAATCAACAAATGCGTACGAAAGGATCAGCTCAGCCGAACGCTGAAGGACGTCGCGGAGAAACATAAGATGCCCGCCAGCTACGCCTTACCCCAAGACATGAACTCGAACCCCGATAAAACGATCATGCAGCCGTTTTTAATGAAGGAACAGGACATTATGGAAGCTGGCGAGGAATCCAGCTCGGTCAAACGATTCGCGCCGGCCGTGGTTTATTTACCGGTGAAATCGCGAATTAGCAACGCGCTGACTGCCTCCTTCACCCTAAGCCCTGCTTGAGGCCGATTCACCGTCGCGATCGTCGCCGCGTTCGCCGTAACTCTCGTTTCTGCGTTTGCGATTTGAGCACGTGTCATTGGTTCCTATTTAACGCGTAAGGGAGAATAGTTAGCGAAAGTTTATATCTTTCATATATTATTATATCGTGATTCTTTCCTGAACTACGATTCATTCAATAATTCGGTGTAGTCGGTGTACCGATCCGAGGAAAATCCGATTCACCATTTGATCGCGCGAGAGGATATCGAGAAAAGAAAACGGAGAAATAGGTTTTTTGATATTTATTTGTGAACGATAACGACAGAGAAACTTTTCCAGCGCAGTGAATAGACATCTGGAGGAAGGTATGCTTTTTTTGAGAAAACCTTATTATATTCGTGCGTTCGTCTGTCTTGCTAACTTGGTGACCTTTGTTTTTGTACGACGATATATGACTATTTAACGCATAGTATTTATAGATGGCCAATAGAGAGAATACCTTGATTAAGTCCCGTTTCTCGCCGGAACGTGTAGACAACAAAAGAGGGAAAAGAAAGGTTCCGCGTTTGAAAGCCACGTTGTTAATACTGTTCTAGTTCGGGAACGTTATATTGTAAATAGTTAATGATATAACACGAACGGGTGATCGAGAAAGTTCCTATTTTAAACGCGACGGACCTCCAAAGTGCACGCGACCGTATCTAAGTAATTTGTCGGGCAACAACTTCCTTGGTTCATTTGTACTTAGCCTCGTAATACCAGTTTGCTTTTGCTCAAGTCCAGGAATTACGAGTAACATGGAACAGAAGGGATATGGATTGAATAGAAAAAATTAGAGTACGCGATCGATTGTCCTATTCGCGATCGTGCTAGTCAATATGCAATATATAAACAAAGAGTCGATAGAGGAAAAAAGATTTAGTGAAGGTATTTATATCTGCGTAAAGTACGGTAACAAAGAGTACACAGAGTGATGAAAAACAATTAAAACCCGCTACGATAAAAACGAACAAAAGAGGAGCGTAATTACTATCGCGAAACGAACAAGATTAAAACTACGATTACAATATTTAGATATCAATGCGCAGAGAGAGCCAATCAACTCAGGGTCGAACACAGTATAACTCGCAACAAAAGTACAATCGTATACACAGCCAATGGATCGCATAGAATTAAACAAATAGTTTAAATATTATCGATATATAGATATTTCGCGTGACCTCAAGTATCAAATAAACACGCCCCTGACATCTTTTCAAAGGGAGAAATCGTGACGACGTCCGCTCCCGAGAGTACGCTTTAACTGTACGATATCCGACTTTTTACTCTATTCATGGTTTAAGCCATGGCCCTCTGATTAACCTTATCTAACAGTAAGATTTACATATTCTAGTCGTTTATACAATGAAACGTGAAGTTCCTTTTGCAAGAAACTGTTTCTACCGCGTGCCTTGCAGCTGACGAAACTGAGAATCAAAAATCAAATTTAACCCTTTTAAATCAAACGAAAGAAACACAAGTGTATATCTCATTGATATATACAGCATGTTAAAAAAAAATTGTCTAAGAGTTTACATGCTTCTAGTACTCACCGAGCAGAATAAAAAATGTCTAACCAACATAGGTCCTAAAATTAATCCTTTCGATCAAAAAAACAGAATTTTATTTTCACATTTGTTACAAATGTTCGATATGTCTTCTTTCCATTTCAATTAAAAACTCACATCTGTAATTTTAGACCAAAAGGATCGATATTAGAACCTAGGTTGATTCAACATTTTTGCTCCTCTTGTTGAATATTATAAGACCCTAAAGTCTTAGACCTCTTTTTTCGAGCACCCTGTATATTATACATATTATTGATTACTCTATATCTTGCTCGGTATTCAATTTTCATTTTTCGGTTAACGGTCAGCGAACATTCGATCGAGGCGTTCTAAAAGAACAGCTGTTTTTGAGTGACCAGCCGATAGCCGGGCATGTGCAGCCGTCCCAAAACTTAACTGGCCTCCCAAAAATACGGTTCCTTGCAACCGGCGAGGGGGGGGGGAGTGATTCGTCCCTTCGATGAACAAACACACACGTTACATTTCCGCCCTCGGCGCAACGCCCACGCGATGTTGACCTTGGATTATGAAATAAAACGCGGCTCGTTTTGACAACTTCCTCTTGTCCGTTCAACGACCCAACGATGCTTGTGTCGCGTGTTCACTTCTTTCGCTTAACAGCCCGAAAATTTTGATTTTTCACCCCCTGGAAAATCTCTATCCGAGGAATGTCGATCGCGACAAAAACAGCCATTACAGATTAAAATCGTCACGGGGACGGATCCAGATGGATTTTTCAACATTTCGGTGAATGCTCGCTAAGGCCCCGTTCCGCTCGATCACGATTTATGGTATATATATGCATACAGATATATGTATACATCGAAACCGAGAAAGAGCGACCACGAGTCCATGGGGCGACCTTTGTCTCAGCGGCCATAAAAATTTCCACGAGACAGCTGGAAATTTGGGAGCCCCGCGTCATTAAACAGGCCACGCTCGGGGTTTTCCGGGGCGAAAATTCGTCTGAATTAGTATGCGCGCACGCGTACATTAACATATATTTTCGACGGTAGGGGGACCGGAGGAATCGGCCATTACGAGTCCATTGAAAGAGAACACGCGTGGAGAGGGATGAAGGGGGAGGGCAGGCAGGGAAATAAGGAGAAGAGAGCACGGTCAGAGAAAAATCTACCGACACAGACAGAGAGAGGGAGAAAAATTTGGATAGGGGAAATGGAATTTTTAGCGGCATTGTGCAGGCGATATGGGCATAGGCAAACGGTCCTACATCTGGTCCCCTTGCGGAAAGGTCAGAGAGGAAAAGGTCGCGACCTTGGCCGGGATTTTTCCGAAAAAGTCCAACAGAAACGACCAAGGGGCCGAGAGGGGAGGGGAAGAGGGGGCGGAGTGCACAGGGATCCTGGCCTGCCACTCTCTCTCTGTCCCCCCCTTTTGTCCATTTTTCTCACCCCACGAACGGAACGCACGGGTGACATGCAAAACGCGTGCGTCCATGTAAATCGGCACCCTCTTAATTGCATCCCATGGAAATACGCGTATTGTGCACTTAATGGCCCGTGCGCGGCAACGAGGGTCGTAGATTTTAATTATTGTAACGACTCGCAGTCGATAATAAATCGGGCAACGAGGAGCACACACACACAGAAACCCGGGGGCGTCATGGTTTCCGCGTGCCGGCTGCGATTCAGTGTCACCAGATCTGATCCATTTTCCTGTTTATCCGATCGAATCTCACGGACGAATCATCCTAGACGAATCTATGTTTTTTTTTTGTTTTCGCTTTGTATTAGTCGAATTCCACTGGCATGGGAAAACGTGACAAATGTAAACCCGGGTTCAAGAATGTAACTGCGAAAGAACAAAGCGTCCCGAAATTTAGTATTGCCTTGACTAACGTAATTGAGCGCAAAATCAAATTTTACCCCTTTAAATTAAAAGAAAGAAATACAAAGTATATTGATCATTGATATATATGTATATATATATATATATATATATATGTATATTATTATATATATATATTATTGAAAGGATATACATATATATATATACATTTATTTATAAATAAATACGTCACGGATCGAGCGCGTTTCTCATACGATCGACTAAGATTATATGTATAGGTGATCTGTATTATATTATTAATATTACGAGCGTACATGTTTTCCAGAGGCGTGTCGTTTCGTGCGACGTGTTCCGCGCGTCTGAGAGAAATTAATTTAAGCGTATCTAGTCATTTTCGAGACGATTTACAATTCCGAACGCTGATCTAGTCACTCAACATAGTCGGAGAGAACATATATACATTTATATATATACATAGCCGTCTATACACGCATTACGACCACTAACCTCGAATGATTTATTGATACAAGATCGATCGTATATTTTTATATAAGACTGCGACATAAGGATATTTCCTTTCTTCTTCTTCTTATTTTGTTTTTACCGTTACCTTCCGGTTGTACATTATTTTGTATATTTCTTTTTCTTTACTTTAATTTACCGATGACTCACGCAACGTGTGATCGGGAAATGTACGAATAAAGTGACATTTTTATTTCTTTGATTTCATTTTACCGTTTGATTTTCGTTTCCTTCATCGTTTCACCGGGGCGTCCGCCGACCCGTTTTACGTTTCCTATTAAATTTCAACCCCCCGTTTACCGCTGCACGATATCAACTTGTATAATTCAATTTACTCGACTGCCTGTCCCGTCGGATCGACCAATTTCACTGTTTCCGTGTTTTAAAGAGCGCCGCTCCAAGGAACGGTTTCCCAATACGGGGCGACACGGGGGTGCGCGATCATTGAATTAAATTGCGACAAATTGCTCGCGTGTCCCACGCTTATGTCGCTTCATCGAACAATAGGTACACAAGTCAAACACCGCCGTATTCGGTTTCCTTGACGAAACTTTTTTTCATCGCTCCAGAGACACGTTTCGATAAATGAAAAAATTGTCGAGAGAGAAACGAAGGGACGGAGAATATAACGAGAAAGAAACAGGGGGGTGGAGCGACGTGGACGCAGGAAGGGAGGGCTTTCTGTTTCACGACGATATCCCGTGAGTGTGGCGAGGGATAATATTTTATGGGCAAACGAAAGGAAAACCGGGGTTGGTCAATTTTCAGCGAGAGGGAGCACACGCGTTCACGAAGACGTGGAAACGCTTGCGCTATATCGGAGTTTTCCTTTCGGTTGATGGCCCCGAGTCAACGGTTTGAAAAGGGAACGCGGAAGGCGAACAGTTCCTATCTCTCTCGTACCAACACACACAGAGACGCAAATACACACTGTATGTAATTCCCTTCCTATAGACAAAACAATCAGCTCGGATATTTACGGTACGATACCAGACATGCGTAATTATCGTCCGTTTTAATATTCCCTGTCATAGTTGTCCATAAACTTTAGTTTACTCATCTGCATGTCATTAGACGGGACTA